CTACTTCCGTAGTGATACTGCCTCAGAAACCCAAGGAGGGGTCGCTATGAGTCGGGGCCGACTCGATGGCAAACAACAACAACAACAACTACAATCTGAGTTGACTGTGCTGTTGTAAATTTTTTCTTGTTATAAAAATAATAAATGTTGAGTTCCGGTAAGGTGGCGGAGTAGCAGAAAGACTGCACAGACCCTCTTCAGCAAAACAAAAGGGGAACCAATTAACACAGATACAGAAGATAATCCTGGAGCCCTGAGGTTTGAAGGGAAGGATTATAGAATTGGACCAAACTCCAACTAGCAGAAGAATTTGCATGAAAACAGCAAAAAGGAGACATATGGAGCTGCGGTCTGGCAACAGTCCTGATGGCACAGACAGATTAGATACTGCCGAGTGGTGTTAGGACCTAAGAATTAACCTAAAAATCAACCCTGCTAGCCAGGAACTGCAAGGAGAACTGCTCTGGTCGCTGGTAAATAAAAGGGGGAGTAGTGAAGAGGAAAAGTGACAACATTCTCCCAGATTCCAGGGATGTAAGAACAGGCTCCACTTGTCAGGAACCACAAGGACATTACAGACACTGACGACTGGAAAGGTGTGACATTCTCATATATCATCTCTTATATTCCACACCCTCTTGGTGAACGGAGGTGTGGCTGTCCCTCACTCCCATCCACCTTCTAGGCTGGCAGGAATTCCATTGCAGTCTGTGCCTGAACAGAGCCTGGGTGCCATGCCTCGCTCTGACCCGATATTTTTTTCCTTTTTTAGTTTGTTTGTTTTTCTCTATTTTAAAACTAAAACTACTACTATTATTATTATTAGGAGCTCTGGTAGCATAGTGGCTAAGGCACTTGACTGCTAACCAGAAGGCTGGCGATTCAAACCCACCAATCACTCCTTAGAAGGAAGACGGGGCAATCTACTTTCGTAGTGATGTTGCCTTGGAAACCCAAGGAGGGGTCTCTATGAGTCGGGTCCGACTTGACAGCACATAAGAGCAACAACAACATTATTATTATTACTTTTGTCCTTTTTATTATTATCTTTTATTCTTCCCTTCCCAGGTTCTAGTTTTCAGCTTTTTTCTGTTCCCTCTTCCTGGTTCCTGTTTTCTTTCTTTCTTTCTTTCTTGTGGTTAACACTGTTCCTTGTTTTTCTTTTTATGTTTTTTCCATTTTTTTTCGTTACTCTCCTTCTCTACCTTTTTTCTCTTATTGCCCTCTCCCCAGATAGTGTTGTGTTTTTTTCCCCCCTTTTTTCTTTTTCTGGTTATTGTTCCTATGTGATTACACAATGTTTTTGGTCCATTTGCTTTCACTGTTTTGATGGTTATTCAATTGTTGTTTTTGTCTAACTGATTGGGAGACAGCAATAGTCCCCTTATGACACAACTACACCCACACCTCCTGAAACTTCACTTACTGAGTGAGAGCCCCCACTTTCTTCTCCACCAACGGGCCAACGATAACCACCAAGAAGACCCTGACTCACCCTTCACTGCTCTTCACATACAGTTAACAGGGATCTAAATACAACAACAATGTCTTGGAGAACACAGACTATCACAGTCCACATACAGAAGCAAGATAAAGTAGTAGAAACAAGGGAGCAGGATACAGACCCAGACTCCATCACTGAGGAAGAAGCAGCATGGAACTCCCTGAAAAGGGATTCAAAAGAATTATATTCAGGTATCTTCAAAGGATTGAGAGACAGATCAAGGGAAACAAACACAAAACCCTAGAAGAATTTCTGAAGAAAACACAAGAAGAAAATGACAAAATAAATTAAAAACTAGAAATGATTCAAAGTCTACAGATAGAAATCCAGAACATTAATACTAAATTATCAGAAATAGATAACATATTGGAAGGGCAAAGGAGTAGAACTGATGCAATGGAAGACAAAATTAATGAGATTGAAGACAAATACCTGAATACT